GAGAAGTTCATTAGGTGGTCCAAGGTCAGTGTAATCTACACACCAAGTTCAGAGCAAACCAGTACTACATGAGACTATCTCAATAGTCCTCCATGCCACCTCATAAAGCAGAAAAATCTGTGCTTAATTTTAAGTCACTCTGGGGATGTATTTTGCAAATCAGCAAATGTTAGTGAGCTCTGCAAATTAGTTTCATTTTGATTTAGTTGTATACATTGTCCCTTCAGGTACAAAGAGAATGCCATGAGACTGTCAAGAATCCAACACGATCAACCGATGAAGCCTCTGGATAAAGCCGTCTTCTGGATTGAGTATGTCATGCGCAACAGAGGAGCCAAGCACCTTCGCCCAGCTCTCCATGACCTCACCTGGTTCCAGTACCATTCTCTGGATGTGATTGGATTCCTGTTGGCCTGTGTGGCAGCTGTGGTATTCATCATCACAAAATGTTGCCTCTTTTGTTGCCATAAGACTGACAACATGGGTAAAAAGAAGAAAAAAGAATAGCTGCATTGAAGCCAGGAGAATCTTGAGAGATGGGCCTCTCGCAGCTGCTTCCAGCAAGAAGAGGCTGTGATAGCAAATCACTTCCCTCTAAAACAAGACAGTTTCATGGCGTCACTAAAGATTGCTTTCATGTATTTCATATGTTTAAGACAGTGAAAGATTTCATGTCAAATATACACTCAGGGATTATATAAACAAAACCACATGTTCAGTTTAGAGTGATTTGATGTAACTGAGGAGCTATCCTCAACAACCCTCATTGAGCTTACCTGTGGTTTGCAAAATTCACATGGGCAGAAAATGTATCTAAATACCAGTTATGTTCACAAATGCCAAGCCTTCTCTGCCTTTGTTTGCTGAACAATTTCCTTTCTTGTTTTTACTATGCATAAATAATAGTGTTCAGATTACAGACTTTTGAAATAGACTAACTTGTCTTTGCAAAAGGGAAGCCATTGCTTCTGGTTATTTTTCGGTACACAGACCTCACATCCTTTATTTCCTAAAAGACCTGTGATGAAGGTCACCCTCCTCCAAGCAGAGGTATTTCTCCGTGGCATTCAAACAAGCATTCCTACCTGCTTCTGCTAAATTCTACTACTTGGGAGGTTCTGAACTTGACAGGATTATTCATTCACTTTCCATCGTATCCCTTGGTCACAACTGACCTCAACACTATCGCTCTAGTTTCAGTTTTTTAAGTAGATTTGAGCTGTCAAAAGTTCCATTTCCTCTTCCATATGGAGAACACATGGAAGACAAGACCACAATGATTTAAGTTGCATCATCACTTACCAAATATTATATTCCAAATTTAAAATTACCACACAGATTCACAATTTCTTCTGTTGATTTTGTTTAATTTATTCATTCAGAATTTCTTATCTAGACTCAGTGAAACATTAAATTCATCCTTCATGACCATATTCCTACCTCCCACCGGGTGTCAGCAAATAGGTCCCAGTTCCAAAATTCTGTCCAATTATTTTATTTTTGATAACCCAGCAAATCCAATTAGTATTGTCTATAGATGCATGCATGCATTCATGGGAGGGGACATTGCTGAATCATGGCCAATGAGTCAGTGTCTGCCCAACCCCCATAATAATGACGTATCATGTCCTAGAATCTGATTGCCAATAGCTCTTTATTTACAGGTGGAGTATTAAGAGCTCCTCCCCATTTATTATGGAATTTTGGTCTCCTGATTTTATGTCAGTCCTGTAAAGCTGACAGATTCTTTTGGTTTATGACATGTCAAAAAGGAAGTATTCCACAGCACTTCTCTTCAACATCGGGTTCTTATGTTATTTCCCCGTATTTCCACAGTATTCCTTGAGCCTTAGCATGGGCCTGATCATTCTCAATCATTTGAGTTGTAAGTTGTAAGTGTCCATTAATTGGTTCCCACTAAAACAAAAACCTCTCAAACAAAGGCTGAGAACAACCCAAATCAATGGCTATTAACATAAGCCTTTAGAAGGTAATTTGTTAACATGATCTTTAGCAAAACAGCAATAGTAGATTCCAAGCTAGAATTGTCTTGACTTTTTAATCAGGTTTATGGTGTCAGGTACATTCCAGTGGAGTGGGGCTAAAATCCAATTAGAAAGTAGAGAGTTATCCATCTAGTTAGCTTCAGTTGTTAACTTGACAAAGCCTAGAATCATTGAAGCGAAATGTCTGCTCTATTGGCAAGTCTGTAGGAATAGATATTGATTGATGGAGGATGGTCCAGTTCACAGAGCTGACCTGATAAAGGAGGGACCATCCCTGTGGTCCTGTCCACAGCACGTTGAGCCCTCCTACATCATGATGGTCCTGCATTGAATAAGGAAGCGAAGTAAGGATGAGTCTGGGACTCACACAACTCCAACTTTATCTGGAGGTCTTATCAGCTACTGCTCGGATATAGTCATGTATCATCATACCACCATCAGATTTCATTTCTATTCCAGTTAGATAAAAAAATCCAGAAATCATAAGCAACAGGAATAAAACAGCAAATGATACTCAGTTCATACCATTGTGAAAGCCTATATCACTCATTTGCATTTTCAGTGACAGCTCATACCCACCCTATATTAGGCTCATCCTGGACAGAGATCATGTCTTCTCTAGATATCCCTACTTCACAGAACAATGTGATACTCAGGAAATAGTTTTATAATGAATTTAAGAATCTTTTCTATAATCTGGGTATATTTGATAAGTTTCTCATGAGTAGAATAAAATTCTAAATGTAAAAACAATACTATGCTAATCTAAGATCATTTAGATATAACTTGATAGTGCTATTCTAGAAATGGAAAGAATGAATCAAGATGTAGTATGATTTCTGTATGCAGATAACATGAATTTATTAAGAAACACCAGGTTTATGACCCTGATCATAGATAACGATTACCTTTATGATATAAAAAGAGTTTCTATGATGTCAAACCCCAGTCAAATGCTCCATAGCTGAACCTCCAGAGAAAAAGTTCATGCTGGGCTGGAGAGGTGGCTCAGAGGGTAAGAGCACTGGCTGCTCTTCCAGAGGTCCTGAGTTCAATTCCCAGCAACCACATGGTTGCTCACAACCATCTGTAATGAGACCTGGTGCCTTCCATGCCAGCAGTACATTGTATGCTTAATAAATAATTAAATATAAAAAAAAAGTTCATGCTGGCAGTATGGCCCAGAAAGCCGTGTTTTAAAACTGTGTGGGTTTTTTTTTCTGCTACAGCTGAATCAGGAAAACTTTTCTTAAAGGACCAGCTGCACACTGACAGAAAAACAGCAAGAAGCTGTCTTACACTCTATATTTTTGTGTCTAGATTTCCTTTTCAAACTCTCTCAGGTTTTAAGTGGATTTAGCTGACTGTGTTTGAATCAATTTGTTGGAGGAAAGGTGCTTGTTGGCTCCCACGTGCCCAGCTAGCTTAGCCCTGAAAGAAATACACAGAAACTATATTCATTAAATCACTGCTTGGCTAATTATCTTATTGGCTAACTCTTACATTGTAATTTAATCCATCTCCATTAATCTGTGTATCATCATGTGGCAGTGGCTCACCATCAGTGTTTAAGCATGTCTTACTCTGGCAGCGGACCCATGGCATCTCTGACTCCACTCTTCTTTCTCCCAGCATTCAGTCCATTCCTCCCCGCCTACCTAAGTTCTGCCCTATCAACAGGCCAAAGCAGTTTCTTTATTCATTAATGGTAATCACAGCACATAGAGGAGAATCCCACATCATTATGATTAGCTTTTAAAGTCTTAATACAAAAGAGTGGAAACAATAGTTATCACTATGTAAAGAAGACAGCAGAGTAAACTACCAGAATAAACTACAAGAAGCCAAGTCTCCAGATAAGAGCAAGACAAAGAAAATCTGTATCTAGCACATGATGTGATCCCACATGATGCAGAAAAATAATAGTTTGTGCAGTGCAGCACCAAAAAAAAAAAAAGGATGAACCTACTGCCATCCTAATCCCCAAAATATTCACACATTCTGATTGGTGAATTCAGTGGTGAGCACTGGATTTCAAAACAGTCAAGAGGACTTCTGCTCCAATATAAGCTGAGGTGAAATTAATTAGATTTTATCAACAACAAGAAGGAAATCCTGTATGAAAAGCACATGCACTGAAACTAGAAACAGTCTTACTGCCAATATAGAGCTGAGCCCTTCACCCATAAACTGTTCACAGCATCAGAGTTCAGAAGAAGCAGAAACCCTATTTAGTGAGAATGAGGTGAACCCTGTGACAATATTCCTGTCACACCTGTAGAGTGTACTGATCCTCAAAAGAATGGAAAGTTAATTATGATCAGGTTGACCAGGAAGCATCAGTAGTGGACAAGGATGGAAAAGAACATCTGCAGCTGCTACAGAGTATCCTACAAAAGAGAGATGAGAAAGCTGATCAATCAAGAGCCCTTGCTCCTTCCACACCCAGGGCAGACTGTGATCCCCTGTGTCTAAATCCCAGGGCAATACAACCAAGCTGATGCTAGAAATGAATGAAATAAGGAAGAGAGCTGAAGCTGCCCAAGTGAGTTCCCCATAGATTTGCAAACAGATTATGCCAGAGTCCCCAAGTTACAGGACAGAGCTATAAAAACAGCAAAGGCCAAAAGAAATCTTTGCTTACAAGGGTTAAAAGGACACTGATGGTTCACAGGCAGAAACACGTCTGATAACATACAGAGAATCCATACGGAGATACTAGTACTGGGAAGCAGAGTCAGCAAGAAAAACACGCAGACTTCTTTACAGAGGGATAAAAGCCACTTTTTAAATTCTTTTTGTTGCTTGTTCTACTCTATTCTTTTTTCATTTTGTTCTTCTACCCTGATGTTTCTCTTCTTTCTCTTTCCTGATGATTTTCTTTTCTTTTTCTGATGTTTTCCTTCTACATCTTTGATGGAGGAAGGTCATTGAGCAATAAAGAAACTGCTTGGCTGGCCCTGATAGGTTAAAGCATAGGTGGGAGGAGTAAACAGAATAGAATTCTGGGAGGAAGAGGAAGTGAGGTCAGACTCTGCTCTGCTCCTGGAGAGACTCGACAGCTCTGCTCTCTGAAGCAGAGACGCCAGGCTCTGCTCTCCCAGGCAACTCTGACCCAGGATGGATGTAGGCTAGAATCTTCCCGGTAAGCGCACCTTGGGGTGCTTACACACATTATTAGAAATGGGTTAGTCCAGGTGCGAGAATTAGCCTAGAAGAGGCTAGACAGAAATGAGCCAAGCAGTTCTTAAAAGAATACAGTTTGTGTGTTGTTATTTCGGGCATAAGCTAGCCAGGCGGCCGGGGTGCTGGGGACGCAGCCCCTCCGCTCCTTATTTCAACACATCTTGATTTCTATCTGCATCTTTCCTGGTATTTTCCTATGTCTTCTTTACTTTTTCCTTTACAGCTTTTATGCTGCAGCAGAATCTTTCAAGCAATATAAAAGTTATGGTGTGGTTACATTCTATTTATTTATTTTTAATTATTTAAAAAAAAACTATCTTTTTTCATTTTACATACAAATCCCAGTTCCCACTCCCTCCCCTCCTCTCTTTCCCTCCACCTTTTCCCCATTCCACCTACCATCCACTTCTCAGAGAGAGTAAGGCTTCCCACGGGGACTCAACAAAGTCTAACACATTGTTTTGAGGCAGGACCAAGGCCCTGCCTACTATATCTGGACTAAGCAAGGTCACCCTCCAAAGAGAATGGGCTACAAAAAGCCGGAACAAGCAGTAGGGATAAATCCTAATCTCACTGCCAGTGGCCCTACCATTTGTCTCAGCCATACAACTATCACCCACATTCAGAGGGCCTAGTTTGGTCCTATGCTAGTTCCCTAGCTCTCATTCTGGAGTTGGTGGGCTTCCATTAGCTCAGTTAAGCTGGTTATATTTTATTTTATAAATGAATGATTGTGATTAATAAAAGAAAAGACACCCTGTTTTAAATGTCCCTTAAAGTATTAAACATTTTATGTATTACAGGTAAAAAACAAATTATCCTCAAGAACCTACATACAGTGAAATATTTACCTTTTAGACCTCTCATAGATCAGGAGCTTTTCAGCCATAACTGTTTATATACACAGTAATACTTATAAATGCCAGAAAAACAGGTTCACAGTTTCACTTTTCATATTTCAGCATTCAGGTCAATTAACTAACTATCCCCTTCTTTGTTTTCTAGTGTCATTATTTAAAGCTTTGTTTAGCTATGAGGTACACCAAAACATGTGAACACATTTTCTAGTATCAAAAAGAATGTAAACCATTCCCTGGGACTTGGTTGTTTTTCTTAATCATTAAACTAAACAGTCATTTATGAAGTTCCACATCGGATACTCATAAGTTTTAGCTGTGTGATACTTCTTTATTCTTATTTTCTATCTTCTGCAGCTTTATCAATACTATTTGATAAAGTGCTGGAGCAATACTATATCCTACCTTTTCCTATGTTAATTTTTCCACTAAACTAACCTCTATCATAATTCCTTATTATATTTGTTAGAAACTTTTAATCATCAAAATTCTATTAATTAACACTATTATTGTATGTAATCATTACTTCAGATAAACAGTACAACTTAAGAGGAAATCATCTTCATAATAATTCACAGTTGAGAATGCCACATAGAATGGGATATTTCTATGAGATAATCACACACTACACTAAAGACCATCCATGGTGATCAAACACACACACTCATGACATGCCAATACCAGAGAAAAATGACAGCCATGCAAAGGCACAGAGGGTAAAGAGAGATATTTTGAAGTCAAAGCCCTTGAGGTTTTGTTTATCTGAAATTCACCCATCAGTGGCTTCTTTTCTAGTGTGCTGAACTCCAGAATTCAAGTGCCACCTGCTGATCCTCTGATATGGCCATGGGCCTCTGATAGCAAAAGCAGACTCTGGTTCCTTTCTGCCAATATTTACATTCAAAGCAATCCTGAGCAGAAACCAAAGGTTATATTTGATGAGATCAAGGTAGGTTCAGGTGCCCATTCCAAAGTTCACTTTAAACACCCTCTTTCTGCCTTGGTTAGCACATAATTCCAGTCTTTGCACATCTAGAATTTAAAGGCATATTGGCCCATTAATTTTCATACTGCAGTTTTTATTTTATAGAAGTTGTTTCATAATGGGATCATAATCCCTCTCCAAGTCTACTTATTTGGAATTGCATTTTAGTTCCCTGTGGTACTATTTTATATAAAATAATTTACAGGCAGGCCACTAGGTAGATGCAACCCTGCCAAACAAGTAAGACAGCCGCCTAACAAAGGCCAGGATGTATTGTTCATTTCTCCTTTGTTAAAAATGTAGATTGCGTGGGGAGAGGTGTTTGCCAAAGCTGGTGACTAAGTTGCAGATGTTTCTCTGGCCCCGTGTCCCCCAGAAAGAGAATATTAATGAGGATCCACCTTGGTTTACCTGTGGGGATAAAAGATGTTTTGTATAATAAACACTGGTAGTTTTTCAGGATGGAGAAAAGCCTGAGATGCCTTTCCGTTATGACTGTGTGAACTGTGTCGGGTAGGTATTTGGTAGGGGTTTTCTGAGGTTGCTATTAGAGTTCTAACCAGAAAATTGTAAAATGGTTCACCATTTAAGCTAACCAAGTTGGAACCATCTTGAGAAGCTGTTATCCAAAACCAGTCTTATCGTAGCACTATCAGCACCACGATGCTATATTAACCAGGTAGTGTTGTTGTGGAGCACCATCTTCATCCCGGAAACTTCAAAGATTACTGCAGAAAAATTCATTGTTCATTGTGGAAAACTTAAACATTATTTATATAGACATATTCTACAAATAGGTACCATAGAGACAAAAATAGGTATAGAGAAAAGCAAATTTTTTCCTAAATTATTTCTTCTTTCTGTCCCATACCAGATGGCTCCTGACATGAGACAGAAACTTGGAATGGTTTTTTAACAACATGCTTGGATTTAGAGAAGGATAGCTTCAAAGCCACCTTTATCTCTAAATTCAGATATATANAGAGTGATAGCCATTGTCCAATTCCTAAACCAGCTTTCATTTTTAAGTGAGCCTATTATTCTACTGGGTAGTAGAGAAAAATATATATGCTCAGAGATTTTACCCCTCAGATGACCTGTCCTCATAAGTTATATTCCTTTTTGCTTGATAATCCTTTCTGGATATTTTTTTTCCTCTTTAGGCATACAAATGTCCAGGGTCTCTTGACTTTTTGAAGATGAGTATTTTCCTGCAAAGACAAGAACAAAACCCTGCCCCAACCCTTGAGGTTTCCTTACCACCTATATAATTGTCACTTCTGTGGATGAACTGTCATTTCTCTTTTTCAAACTGAATCTTTATTAATTTTGGTGGTATCCATAGTTTTTCTTCTCCTGTGAAAACAAGAATGAAACTCCTTTTCTAACATAGCACATCTGGTTTCCATTGTGAAGTCAATTGAAATACACTGGCTGATTTACTTCAGATGTTTTTACTGTTATTCAATGTCTCTCTTCTGCTGTTATTCCTTTCTCATTAGCATTAAGAAAATTCAAGGTTAATAAAGTATTATGTAATCTATTTTGTGGTTATTTTCCATCCCTTTCTGTTTGTTTAATATATCCTTTATATATATTTTGATTTTATCTTTCTGTAACTTTCTGACCTGTAGAACACTGTAATTTACTGTAATATACTTTATATTATAATAAGGAAAAACTGTTTCATTTTTGGATAGCTGTATGCTGGACCATTGTCTGTTTTTATTTGTACAGATCTATCCTTGATGGCTATGACGTCTAATAAATGTGGGATTACTGAATCAGCCTTTTCTGGGCTGAAAGCAGTTGTCCATTGAAAACCTGAATAAAGGTCAATAGTGTGGTGTACATATTTTAATTTTCCAAATTCTGCAAAGTGGAACACACTCATCTGCCAGATTTCATTCTTTGAGTACCCGTTGGGTTACTCCTGCAGGTAGTGGTGCTTGGTTATAGAAAGAGCAAGTAGGACATCTCTTTATAAACTCCTTAGCGTGTTACCATGTAATAGAAAACTCTTCCTTTAAACCTTTGCTATTGACATGATGTTTTATGAAATTTTGAGGCCTTTAGAATACTTCTAATCAATAATTGGACAATTTCTGCATTTCCTTGTGCTAAAGGATCTGTCAGATTGTTATAGGATCATATTGTGTTATGTATATGGTACAAAGCCTATTCCTAATTATATCTTGAGCCTGAATGAATAACAAAGTCAATTCTGTATTATCTGGTATAAATTCAGCAGTTTCAATATGCAAGACAACTCTTTCTGCATATTGTGAATCAGTAACTATATTGAAAGGTTCTTTAAAATCCCTTAGTACCATTATAAATGCATAAAATTCTGCCTTTTGGTCTTTGGGTCTCCTGAACTTATATAAGTCCTGTGTAGCTGGAAGATTCTTTGAGTTTCTGAGTGCAATGGCCATGGCATGTCCAGAAAAAAAAATGTTCCCTGAACACTTCTCTTCAACATCGGGTTCTTACATCATTTCCCCATTCTGCAGTATTCCCTGAACTTTAGCATGGGCCTGGTTATTCTCAGCCATTGGGGGAGCTGTAAGTCTCTGAACTGATTGGTGCCTGCTACAACAAAAGTTTCTCTGACAAAGGCTGAGATCAACCCAGAACTATGGCTATTAACATAACCCTTTATAAAATAATATGCCAAGATGATCATTTAACAAAACATCAGTAGTAGGTTCCAAGCTAAAATTTTCTTGACCTTTAATCAGGTCAAGTGTCAGGTTCTTCCCAGTAGAATGGGGCTAAAATCCAATTAGGAAACAGTTATCCATCTAGTTACCTTCAGCTGTTAACTTGACAAAGCCTAGAGTCATCAATGAGGAGAGTATGGTCTCTTGGCAAGCCTTTGGGAATGAATATTGATTATTGACTGATGAAGGATGGCCCAGTCCATAGCAGATTGAGCTGATCTGTTACAGAAGAGAACATCCCTGTGGTCCTGTCCACAGCAGGTTGACCTCTCCTAAATCATGATGGTCCTACAGTGAATAAGGAAGCAAAGTAAGGATGAGTCTGGGACTCACACAACTCCAACTTTATCTGGAGGTCTTATCAGCTACTGCTCGGATATAGTCATGTATCATCATACCACCATCAGATTTCATTTCTATTCCAGTTAGATAAAAAAATCCAGAAATCATAAGCAACAGGAATAAAACAGCAAATGATACTCAGTTCATACCATTGTGAAAGCCTATATCACTCATTTGCATTTTCAGTGACAGCTCATACCCACCCTATATTAGGCTCATCCTGGACAGAGATCATGTCTTCTCTAGATATCCCTACTTCACAGAACAATGTGATACTCAGGAAATAGTTTTATAATGAATTTAAGAATCTTTTCTATAATCTGGGTATATTTGATAAGTTTCTCATGAGTAGAATAAAATTCTAAATGTAAAAACAATGCTATCTTAATTTGATATCATAGCTGATTCAGACATAGCTAGATAGTGCTATTCTACAAATGGGAAGAAAGAGTCAAGGCACGGTGTGATTTCTGTACACAGATGACATGAATTTATGAGAAAAACCAGGGTAGTCTATCTCATGGCCCCGATCACATGACAAAGATTACCTTTATGATATAAAAGAGTTCCTATAATTAATATTTGAAGTTTTAACAGCAAAGAGTGAAAATAATAGCAATCCTTGTGAAGAAGACAGCAGAGTAAACTACCAGAATAAACTACAAGAAGTCAAGTCTCCAGATAAGAGCAAGACAAAGAAAATCTGTATCGAGCATGTGATGTGACTCCACATATTACAGAAAAAAATGCTTTGTGCAGTCCAGAATCACAAAAAAAAAAAAATAACTAACCAACTGCCACGCTAATTCCAAAATTCACACATTCTGTATTGGTGAGCACTGGATTTCAAAACAGACAAGAGGACTTCTGCTCCAATGTAAGTTGAGGTGGAATTAACTGGATTTTATCAACGACAAGAAGAAAATCCTATATGAGAAGCACATGCACTGAAACTAGAAAGTCTTACTACCAATGCAGAGCTGAGCCCTTCACCCATAAACTGTTCACAACATCAGAGTCAGAAGCAGCAGAAACTCTAGTTAGTTAGTAAGAGTGAGGTAAACCCTGTGACAATCTTGGTGTCATGCCTGTAGAGTATACTGACCCCACAAAGGTGGGGACATTATTATGATCTAGTTGCCCAGGAAGCATCAATAGTGGACAAGGACAGAAAAGAAGAGTAACTGTGGCTACTACAGAGTATCCTACAAAAGAGAGATGAGAAAGCTGATCAATCAAGAGCCATTGCTCCTTCCACACCCAGGGCAGACTGTTATCCCCTGTGTCTTAACCCCAGGGCAATACAACCAAGCTGATGCTAGGAATAAATGAAAAAGGAAGAGAGCTGAAGCTGCCCAAGCGAGTTCCCCATAGATTTGCAAACAGATTATGCCAAAGTCCCCAAAAGCTACAGGCCCCAGCTATAAAGGCAGCACTGGCCAAAAGAAATCTTTGCTCACAAGGGTTAAAAGAACACTGATTGTTCACAGGGAGAGACATATCTGATAACATTCAGAGAGTTATCAGACCAGATTCTGCAGGTCAGAAAGACTAGAAATGAAATGCGGATTCGGGAAAACAAACAAACATACAAACAAACAAAAAAGAAAAAAGAAAAAAGAAAGAAAAACCAGACAGACTTCTTTTCAGAGGGATAAAAGCTACTTTTTTACTTTTTTTATTATTTCTGTTGCTTGTTCAACTCTATTCTTTTTTCATTCTGTTTATCTACTCTGTTTTCTTTCTTTCCCTTTCCTGATAACTACCTTCTCTACTTTCTGATGTCTTCCTTCTACAACTTGACTTCTATGTGCATCTTTCTTGGTATTTTCCTTCTGTCTTTTTTATTTTTCCCTTAGAGCTTATATACCACAGCAGAATCTTTCAAGCAATATAAAAATTATGAAGTGGTTACATTCTATTTTTAGGTGAATGATTACAATTAATACAGGCTAAAAGCAATGTGTTTTCCATATTTCTTAAAATATTAAACATTTTATATTTTATAGATGAAACAGTCTGCCACTTCCACAGACTTTAAAGATCCTGAGCATTTCCATTATGTAGTTACATATCAAAGAAAAGTAAGAACAGATCCACACAAACCTCATACCGGGAACTTGGATGGGGGCATAGCAACAGACAGGGTAGATCTCCATTTCCGGGGTCCCCGCCCCGAGCCTGTTAAACTCAAGCAAGGTCCTGCAAGATATTGTTGTCCAAACTTCCTACCAGCCTAGCTCCCTGCTGCATCCAACTATCATACCCACCTCAGGACTGGCCACAAGTTCTACCTTGTGTCTCTCTCTACCTAATCTGCCCACTCAGGAGCAACCTAATTTGTGGCTCCCAGAAAGGACAGATCAGGATAAATTCAGTTTGGCCCAAGAACTTGATGGTGCTTCCACACATTCCTTCCCCCAGTATCTTTTACTAATAATATTTTGCCTCAATGAGGAAATAATAAAAATAAGGAATTATGTTCATGGTGATGTCTGCAAAAGATACATGGATTCAGAAAAGGGTTGAAATCAAAATATAGAACATGACAAAAATATGGCTCATGAATATTAAGAAAACATGATAGTCAAAATTTGGGAACAAAACTCTTGTCAATCAAATTAGAAAGGAGTAAGTGTGAACTTTCTGTTACAAAACAGATTTAAGATTACATAAAAGAAACTTTTCTGTCTCCTATAACATGTGCCCCCAACAAACTTGTTACATACACACACACACATACACACATATATAAGCCAATCAAAGTAGCCAAACCCAAACAATTGTAGAATGCAGAAAAACAGATTTTTTTTTATTGTGATCACTTTAGAAAGAGAGACAGAGAGCCAGTCACCCTTACCCAACTTCACCTTTGCGATTCTGACAAGATATATGCATAGCTAGCCAGTTCAGACATGCTTTGGTCTCTTGCCCAACATTATTTTAGCACATAATCTCTTCAGATGTATTTTGCCCCTAGCTTGCAAAGGGTTTTTGAGGACAGATTCCTCCTGTGTCCCCAAGGCACCAGACATTTCTTCTCCCAGCAGAAGGTCTCCAGGAAAATTCTAATTTCTTAGCGCCCATTCTTTTAATAGTCTGATACCAAGGAGGGAAGGAGAATTGTCTCATTAGATTATATTCACTCCTGCCAGCATGACTAGTTACAAGAAAACAGATTCCTGGTTGGGCAGAGCTGAAACCAATGGAAAGGCAAAAAGAACAGGGATATTTTATCTAAGATAAAAATAATTTCAGTATTTATAATTGTAAAATTATACTATGAACCACTGATTCAGAAATATAAAATCATTAAATAGTGTGATAAATGATCCATGCTGCTAACTTCTTATAAAGACACACTGAACTGTGATATTTTAAAAATGTGAATCAACAGTTAGTCTTTACTTCAAGTTGTGATTAAGGAAGCTACATTAGAAGCACAGAGAGATCTTGCTTTCCACTGTTCTCTAAGTACATTATATATTCAAGGTCATTGAGAACTAGGAGTCATTTCAGATGTGCACATCTGCCTCCTGGTTTTTGCACTTGACTTTCTGGGGTTGTGACGATCCTATGTGTATTTGCCTTAGTAGGTACAAGTTATACTTTAACTAACTGACCATTACCCTTTCTTTCACTCCAAGAGCTGAGCCACCACCATTTGAAACGAAACTCTGAATTTAACCAAGATGTCTGTGAAAATGACAGCAGCCCTGCTCCTGCTACAGCTGAGTGGCTTCTTTGGATCTGGGAATGCTGGGAAGGTGCTGGTGTGGCCAATGGAATACAGCCATTGGCTCAATTTAAGGATAATCCTAGATGAGCTTGTGAAGAAGGGTCATGAAGTGACTGTTCTGAGACCCTCATCTTCCCTTTCTTATGAGGTTGATAACACATCTGCTATTGAATTTGAAACATATCCTTCATCATATTCCACGGCTGATGTAAAGGAACTTTTCATGGAGTCAATTAGGAAACAAATTTATGAGATGTCAAAGAAGTCATTTTGGATATACTTTTTAATGTTGCAAGACGTGGTTTGGTTATATTCAGACTATTTTGAAAGTCTCTGCAAAGATGTAGTTTTTAACAAGGATCTCATGACAAAACTACAAAATTCAAGCTTTGATGTCATAGTAGCAGATCCCTTCATACCCTGTGGTGACCTGCTGGCTGAGATTCTCAAGGTACCTCTGGTGTACAGTCTCCGATTCTTTCCTGGCTCCACACATGAGAAGTACAGTGGAAGACTGCCACTACCTCCTTCCTATGTGCCTCCTGCTATGTCACAATTGAGTGATCGATTGACATTCACGGAGAGGGTGCAAAATCTGATCTATGTGTTTTATTTTGACTTTTGGTTCCAAACATTTAACGAGAAGAAGTGGAATCAGTTTTACAGTGAAGTGTTGGGTAAGTACCTATTTAATTGGGATTGTTGCATTCTCAATTTGCTGTGTCATTGAAGATGAATCTTAATCAACAGGATTGGCAGCAGGAAGATTTATCTCTCCTAAGTAAAATGGTGAAAAGTCTGTGAAATTGCCTGCCAAATTCAAAGCGTTTTAGAAAAGCTTATGTCCCAATGTCAACTAAAAAACCTTGTCTGTGACATGAAAAGGACACTTCAGAAAGGCATAGACCCACAAAACTAAACTTTAAGAATTTCTCTAATTAACATATGTGCAAGCCATTTCAGTTCATGCTTTTAAAAAGTAGCTTTACCTCGCTTGTGGCATCATCAATATCATTATTTTGATCCTACTGCATTTACTGGCTTTGTGGGAGCCTAGACAGTTTGGATGCTCACTTTACTAGACCTAGATGGAGGTGGGTGGTCCTTGGACTCCCACAGGGCAGGGAACCCTGATTGCTCTTTGGGCTGACGAGGGAGGGGGACATGATTGGGGAAGGGGGAGGGAAATGGGAGGCGGTGGCGGGGAAGAGACAGAAATCTTTAATAAATAAATAAATAAATGAATAATTAAAAAAAGAAATATATTGCTGCCATTACTATAATTATCATGAGAACATGCATACTTGGGTTATGGGTTGGAACTTATGTTCTGTGTGGCATATGAAGAGATCAGATTAAACTTTGAAGAGTTTTTATCCCTACCTTCATGTAGATTCTCAGGATGAATTCAGGTGTTCCAACTTGTATGGGGAGTGAACTCAAGTCATTACTCTTGCATGGTAAATTCTTTTACTTCTAATCCATCTCACTAGCCCCCCAAACAGTAGCTTTAAACAAACTCAATGTCTTCATGATTTATATATTTATGCTTAAGACTAATACATATTTCTAGATAGATATCTACATAGCATTGAGGAATTTTTAATTACATAAATTAGTTTTCTCATTTATACTTTGAAACACTTTCTCATTTCACCTACTAAATTCCTGCACAGCTGTGAATACACTGTCTATGTACCAAGCACATAAAGCATGTGAATTCAGGATTTTGGAGAATCTATGTTTATTTATTAGGATGATTGAAATTGTATTTAAAATGTATGACATTGAAGTGCAGATATAATGATTACTAGTTTCAGTGTTTTAAAGTATAGCTAATGAACAAACAGCTCTCTTTCCATGTTTTGTGACTTGTTTACCCTTATTATCTGCAAACAAACTTACATACACCTAATTATTACACAGTCAATCATGAATCAAGCACAATATGAGGACAAGGAACTCAGGCATAATAGAAAATTTTCTCGGAGGTCAGCCAGGGTGATACAGTGAGACTGTGTCTCAAAATGAAATCTTGAAACTAAATCCCCACAAAAAGTTTACACTGGGTGAGTGCCAGTTCACACCCATAACCTCAGCAGTTCGGACTTGGAGAAAGAGGATCTGGAATTCAAGGTCAACTTTGGCTATCTAGTGGCATAGAGACCACCCTGAGCTCTATCAGAATATCTCAAAACAAAGCAAAACAACATAAAATCGTCAGTTCCCTGAGAGGATCACTCATCAGGGTTCCAGCACCTACCAGGGAAAACTAGATGGAGACGTTCAAGAAAAGTGTTTCCCTGAGTATGGCAAACAGGATTCATAGACAACTGTAGTTGTTGTGGGCATGTTGCTGCTGCCTTTTGTATGATCCCTGTCTCCCCGGGGGAAAAGGGGGAAGAAGACATGGAGGCAAAAACACAGACTCTGGGATATTCCAATACAGAAGCTTTTTATTGAAAAAAAAATGTCAGAGGTTTTGGAGATTTAGGGAAATTAAGGTAGAACAGGAACGTTTTTGGTTGGTCCTTTTGAAACTGGCAGTCGCTGCTGGATGTTGTGATTGACTAGGTGTGTGTGTGTGTGTGTGTGTGTGTGTGTGTGTGTGTGTGTGTGTGTGTTTAGTTACTATCCTGTTGGTCTGCTAACTGGTTGTTTTGGCCATTTTTGCTTATTCATTGTGAGTTTGCATGTGCTTGCCTGTGCTTGTGCTATTGCCTTGCCTCATCTCACTCTTTTTATTTTATTCTTATTAGGCAATCTAGTGGGAGTTAAGGAATTTTATAACCCCACCTCAGTGACTCCCCCAGCATTTTGGGATGTGCCTATGCTGGCCTGCTGGATAGGCTCTTACCTGACTTTGACTACAGGTCCTCAAAGGGTTGGATCCCCAGAAGGTCCCAAGAAGTCAGAAGCAAGGGAGACTTTTCAGAGTACTAGGGCTTTAAATAGCCTCCTGTATTTGTGTTAGCCAACCATGGACCACCTCCCTTGGAGGTTTTGTTCCAGCATGCTCTATAGCCATTAACACCTGGAGGTTTGACTTGTTCACTTACTGTTATCAGGATCTTAGCTGTAGAAGATACTTAAGCAGAAACATTAGAGCCACTACCATCCCTCCCATAAGGCACCATGCAACAAGTTTAGAGGGGTCTAGCATGGATTTTTTGTGATCCCACTATTGGTCAAAGAATGTGGTAGACAAATCCAATGTCTCAGCTCATGTTAATTAAGTTGCATAGGTTCTGATTAAATGTTTACAGCTGGGAAATAGTAAACCAAGTAGAACTTGAGCAAATTTTGAGGGGATAAATGAAATTGCTGATGGAGGAGCCTAGACTATTCCAGCAAAGTCATTTGCACTTTCAGTGACAGCTGACACCCACCCTATATTAAGTTCATCCTGGACAGAGACCATGTCTTCTTCTTCATATATTCTTACTTCATAAAACAATGTGATACTCAATGGCTGGTTCTTTAATGGCTAGTTCTATAATCCAGGTATATACCATAAGGTTCTCATGGGTAGGATCAAATTCTAAATTTAAAAACAACTCTATCCTAATGTGATATCATAGCTGAGTCAGATACAACTTGATAGTGCTATTCTAGAAATGGGATGAATGCTTCAAGGTGTAGTGGATTTCTATGTGAAGATGACATGCATTTATTAAGAAATATCAGGGTTTTCTATATCATGACCCTGATAATAAGACATAGATTACCTTTATGATGTAAAAGAGCTCCTATAATTGGTTCCTGAAGTTTTAATAGAAAGAGGAAAAGCAATAGTTTGCACTATATAAAGAAGACAGCTGAGTAAATTACAAGAAGCCAAGTCTCCAGATAAGAGCAAGACAAGAGAAAAACTATATCTAGCCCATAATGAGGTTCCATATATTATAGATAAAAATGCTTTGTGTAGTGCAGAATCATGAAAAGAACTAACCTACTGCCACCCTAATTCCTGCAATAAAATATTCACACTTTCTGAAATGGACTCCTGCAGTGGTGATCATTGGATTTCAAAACAGACAAGAGGACTTCAGTCCCAATGTAAGCTGAACCTCACTGGAGCACTGGGTGAAATTAATTAGATTTTATCAACAACAAGAAGGAAATCTTTTATGAGAAGCACATGCACTGAAACTAGGAACAATCTTACTACCAATGCAGAGCTGAGCCCTTCACTCATAAACTGTTCACAGCATCAGATTTCAGAAGCAGCAGAAACCATATTTAGTGAGAATGAGGTGAACCCTGTGACAATATTCCTGTCACATCTGTAGAGTATACTGATCCGCAAAAGGGTGGGAAGTTAATTATGATCAGGTTGCCCAGGGAGCATCAGTAGTAGACAAGGACAGAAAAGAAGAGTAACTGCAGCTAATACAGAGTGTCCTACAAAAGAGAGATGAGAAAGCTGATCAATCAAGAGCCATTGCTCCTTCCACACCCAGGGCAGACTGTGATCCCCTGTGTCTTAATCCCAGGGCAATACAACCAAGCTGATGCTAGGAATAAATGAAAAAGGAAGAGAGCTGAAGCTGCCCAAGCGAGTTCCCCATAGATTTGCAAACATTATTCCAAAGTCCCCAAAAGCTACAGGCCCAAACTATAAAGGCAGCATGGACAAAAAAAATATATCTTTGCTTACAAGGATTAAAAGAACACTGGTTGTTCACAGGGAGAAAATTATAGGACAACAGAAGCAGACTCTGGCTCCTGCCAACACTTGGATTCAAAATAATCTTGAGCAGAAACCAAAGTTCACTTTGGATGAGATCAAGGGTAGTGTGCTCATTCCAATGTTCACTTTAAACACCCTCTTTCTGCCTTGATTAGTATGTAATTTCAGTCTCTGTTTACTTGTGTTCTTGAGACAGACTCTCACTCTGTAGTTCTGGTTGTCCTCAAATCTTCTATGTAGGCCATGCCAGCCTTGAACTTACAGAGATCCTCCTGTATCTGCCTCCTGAGTGCCTGGATTAAAGGTGTGTGTCATATTGCCCCAAAAATTTAACTTTTTTTTAGTTATTTTATGTAGCCAAACAGCAGTGGCACACTCCTTTATCCCAGCACTATGGAGGCACATACAGGTGGATCTCTGTGAGCTAGACAAGCTTGATCTATAGAGTGAGTTACATGACAAGCCGGCCTATGTTACACAGAGAAACCCTGTCCCCAAAAACCAAAAAGAAAAATATTTTATGCAAAAAAATAAGGACCTTTTTGATTTTCTTTAAGAAATTTTCTTCCAATTTTTATGTGTCTCTTCCCCAGATCCTTTAAGGGATGTTTTTTTATTTCCTCTTTAAGTGCCTCTGTCATCTTCATAAAGTGATTTTTAAGTTCATTTTCCTTTGTTTGGGCTGCTTTGGAATGTTCAGGTCTTGCTGTTCTGGTGTTACCATAAGGCTGTTTTAGTTGTTGAGGGTATTCTTACACCAGCATATACTCATCATCACTTCCAACTGGTATGGCCTGTTTCTGCGCTTGTTCTTCCAACCGTTGTGATTTACACCTGTGCCTATGCAGTCTGCTGTTTTTTTTTTTTAATTGATGTGGTTTGTGCCTGTGCCTAATTGTCTTCTAGGGTTGCAGAGGAGGGCTGGCCAAGGGGAGGCTGTTCAACTGCATGGGATTAGGTGATAGAGTGGCTCTTGGAGAGACA